GTGAAACTGCAGAACTCCTGCACGAAATGCGGAAAGGTTAGCAGGTCTGGGTAAATGTCAGTGGACATCATGGCAATGGAAGATTGTGTAGAAACGATCAAGTCTTCATACTGCACATGTCTATTAGACATGCCTTCTTTTTTTTTTAGGTACAATCAGGGTGTTTTAACATGCATTCGAATTGCATGCTTGTGCATACTGCTGCAAAGTTTATCATAATATTAACATGATCATAATGCTCAGTCCTACCTAATAGTACATATCCTTAGTGATGCTTACCTGATAAATACTGTTTTTCCCTCGTTCACATCTGAAGGGAGAGGATTCTTCTGTTTCTTCTTCTTGGCTGGAAAGAGAAGGAAACAATCCCCCAGAGCAGAGACAATTACGTAAAAAAAAAAAATCTAAATACACAATACTTATTATGAATGAATGAATGAATCAATCAATCAATCATACCATTTTCCTCATCATCATCCTCATCATCTTCATCATCCTCATCCGTATCCTCGTCATCTGATGCATCGCTGTCTGCTTCCAGAGACTCCGAGTCATTATGCTCTTCGTCCTCTTCATCCTCACTGTCTTTGCTGTGATCATCATCGTCATCGTCATCATCGTCAGATGGTGATCCTGCCTCAGACTCGCTGTGAGAGTTCTCCTCTGGCTGTGCTTTAGACCTTAAAATAAGACCGTCCTCATCACACTGCTACATTCAATCACGCTCACAATCCTTTCATAAAGCGAAGACTCAGTGCTAGCTGTCTGAGGTCACACACACACGGCACTGATTACACAGTACAGCTATTCACACCTTCAAACACTACGGAATACTTACTGACTAACAGCTAAACACCTACCTAAACAGTACACTACTCTAATGTGAGCTGGATAAGGAGTTAGTTTAGCTAATGTTACCTCTCCAGCAGTAGCTATTAAAAGAGTATCTAGTTACTCGACAAGCTACCTAATGTTATGCTAAGTATATACGCAAATAAAACAAAATACATGCAAGCTAACGTTAAGCTAACGTTAAGCTAACTAAAGCGCTGCATACTTACAGCCTGTCACTGTTTTTGTGATCTTATCACCCGTCCATACTAAATAAAATCTCGTCAATGGTTCGGGATATATTAATTCTAAACCAAACACACACACACACACACACACACACACACACACACACACACACACACACAATCTGTTGTTACACGTTTACCAAGACAAAAGATGTTTATCTCTTACTGTTTCTCTGCAGGCTCATCATCCTCTTCCTCTTCATCAGTCTCTGTCACTTTTTTTCCATCCTCTTTTTTACCTCCTGGGATAAAAAGCACGCTCAGTTTCGCATCAGGAAAATGTTTAGTGACGTACCGTGAACAGAAAGTGAACACGCACCTGAGGCCGAGCCGGCCTGATTAGCCATGAACTTGTCTTTAGACACGGCCCAGTCTACAGCAACCTTTCTGTCTGCGGAAACGAGAGACAGACTAAAGTTAGACTGTAGCGTTTATGAATGTTGATATGATCAGTGGGGGGAAAAAAAACTGGGACTGGTCACGCAGGAGAGGGTCTCACCTATAATTTCTTTCAGGTTGGTTGCAGCGAGGGCTTTTCCTGCTTCCAGCATGTTTTTAAACTGGACGAAGGCAAATCCTCGTTTCTTTCCATCTACGCACAACCACAAAACAATATATTTTCTTTTAGCAATCAGAACCCATCGATGAGGTAAGAGGATCACTAAAGTAAGTACGCATAAACACAACAGCAGTATAAGGCTCATTTTACACCAGAAGCAGCTCGTCAAATCCTCATTCATTTCTGTTCACTGGTTTAATAAATCACATGTAAGTTGCCCAGTCGTGGCCTGGGAAAACCCTTAACATGGTGAAATTTTGACTTTTTTCTACTATACATGTGGCAGTCTGTAAAAACCAGTCAAAAAAAAAAAAAAAAGGAAGAAAAAATCTTGAAAAAAAATATTTTGGATGTTAATAATATATTTTAAGAAAACAAATAGCTTCACCATAACGATGTGGAATTATTATTTTTTTTAATTTAGGTCACATTCTAATGCTGCACTGGCATCTGCCTGAAATGATCATGTTGTGAAAGGAGCCAGTTTTGTAAATGCACTTGTAAACATTTTAAACCTTTGCATACTGATGATAATGTGATGGCGCAGAAGCATCACTGACATTTTGACAGCCGGTATCTGATTACAAACTGAACTGATTAAGCTTATACAATTGGCTCTGGTGCGTATCCATCGATTATCAAAGCGTAGCATTGACTGCATAAGGACATCACACTTAGCTAGCAAGGTTTTAGACATCTGTAGGCAGACTGACTCTTTTTACTGATGTTTTTGGTAAACTGGCTCCTTACACAACATGATCTTGGCATGACAATATCCTAGGCGAGATTAGAACAAAAATTTAAATATGTCGATGATGGAGAAACATATTTATGATTTCTTAAAGTTGAGATATAAAAGTATGTTACTGGCAGAAAAACCCAATTTGGCGAAAAACCTGATTTTCCATCGTTTATGCAAGAAACGCGTTGCAAGAATTCAGCCACAGAGAAATCTGATGGGTTTTCCCAGACCACCACACATTGTTCAGAATATTATAAAGATGCATTATCACTCTGATATGCTACACTAGCCTCAACTGTCATGAAGTATGACTTTTAACACCAGAGTGCACACTGTAAATGCACGGCTACAGGCTGAAATATAGCCCATGTGTTGATTATACAATAGAAATACACTGCATAAAAAATAAAATTCAAGCACACGCATCTGGTCTAAAATAACACACTGATTAACATGTAAAATGAGCCAGCTTTATTTCATCACATCACCAAATGAGCAATAACAAACAAATCTTCATCACAAACCTTTATTTTCACCTCTAACTAATAATTCAGTGAACATTACCTGGTTTTAGAGGGATCTTAACTTCCAGCACTGTCCCAAACTTTGAAAAGACTTCCTTAAGATCAGCCTCAGAGCACTAAAAAAGCAAATAAATAATGTCTTTATTTCAAATGCTACGTGTTCAAAAGTGTTCTAAACACAATAGGTTTCACTAAAGAAAAATCGAAAGCAGTCACAACATTTTAAATATAGAAAAGACTAAGATGATCCAAAATATGTGGTAATGTACAGGGTGTCTGAAAACTCAGGAACTAATGGGAATATTTTGAGCAAATATATCAATCTGAATAGGGCACAATCACACACACACACACACACACACACACACCATGGACAATATGGAAATGCCAATCAGCCTACAGAGCATGTCCGTGCACTGGGGAGGAAACTGGAGTACCCGGAGGAAACCCCTTGAAGCACGGGGAGAACATGCAAACTCCACACACACAGGGCAGAGGCGGGAATCAAACCCAACCCTGGAGGCGAGAGGCAAACATTCTAAGCACTAAGCCACCATGGCCCCCCGTTATGTAATATCCACATTCAATTACATTTTAACTGGATGATTCTGTGCCAGACTTGTGACTACATTCGCAATCCGGCTTCACAGCGTTTTACCTCGTCAGTCACTTACTTTGAAACTGAGATTTCGGATAATGAGCCTGGCCTTCATCTTGTTCTTCCTCAGGCCTTGTGGCTTCTGCTGGCTTTTCACCTCTGAGGGTTCCCCGGGACTCTCTGTTTCTTGCTCCGCTGTGCAAACATTAAAAAATAAAGACAGAAAAATGGCCAAGAGTTGAAATTAAAGCAAATACAGTAACTGAAATAAAACTGACACTAAACACGGCACACACCTTTTTTGTTCTTTCCCTGCTTCTTTTCATTAGGTTTCTTCTTTGCCAGGACCACTGATACTTTTTGCCCGTCATAGTCCTTTATTTCTCTGAGAGCTCGCTGAGCGTCTTCTGCCATGGAGTAAGTGACGTAGCCTATCCCACGGCATTTCTCTGAGCCTGAATGGAAGAAGACACACTAGACGTTAAGGTTTAATCATACTCACATACAAGACAAACAACATCGCATTACTATGTGCTTTTACTTGCCAACTTCATTTTAATTTAACTTTGCTTTCAGTTCTTTTTTTTTTTTATACCAGTTCATTACAATTAAAAGGAAAGGAAAATAAATATCAGCAGGAAGTGTTAGCATTTCCTTCGGCTATGCTCTGCTCGTTTGAGGAGCAGCTGTAACCAGACAGATGTGGTGATGGTTCAGGATCCTTCTTCTTAATGATTTAATGGTTAAATCTGAAAATCTGATCATGCTAGACAAGCAGATAGGTATAATGCTAATCTGAAAGTGACTGGTTGAATAACTAGGAACTACATTATTGAATATGAATATGTAAACACTGAAAAACTTTATTTAAATTATAGATGCTTGATTCTGAAAAGGTGAACTTTAAAATTCAAAACAAAAACATAGTAGTAGTGTGGTTTTTGATACTATGAATTTAATGGTACACTATATGGCCAAAAGTATGTGGACACTTGACCGCTGCACTCATATGTGCTTCTTCCCCAAAAGTTGGAAGCACACAATTGTATAGAATGTCTTTGAATGCTGTGGCATTACAATTTCCCTTCACTGGAACAAAGAGCCCAAACATGTTCCGGCATGACAATGCTCCTGTGCACAAAGAGATCTCCAGGAAGACATGGTTTGCCAAGTTTGTAGTGGAAGAACTCGAGTGTCCTGCACAGAGCCCTGACCTCAACCCCACTGAACACCTTTGGGATGAACTGGAACGCTGACTGCACCCCAGACTTCCTCGTCCAATATCAGTGCTGATCTCACTAATGCTCTTGTGGCTGAATGAACACAAATCCCAAAAGCCACACTCCAAAATCTAGTGGAAAGCCTTCCCAGAAGAGTGGAAGCTATTATAACAGCAAAAAAGGGCCTAAATCTTGAATGGTCTGTTCAACAAGCACATATAACTGTGACAGCCATATAGTGCATTTTTATTTCACTGTGAAGAATTCATTAGGGCGGACTAATGGAGGACTAGTGGTTAGGCCTCGGTGCTCTCATCACCGTGGCCTGGGTTCGATTCCCGGCCAGGAAACCTACTCCAGCCACTGGGGTTGTACACGACAGTGCGCTCCCAGGGCCGATCCCAAGCCCAGATAAAAACTGGGGAGGGTTGCGTCAGTAAGGGTATTCGGCGTAAAAAAAACTGTGTCAAAACGAATATGTGGACCAACTTGTGGATCCGCTGTAGCGACCCCTAACAGGAGCAGCCGAAAGAAGAACAATATTAAGAATTCATTAGCTTTTAAAGACATTCGAATCTTTATGTCTCATATTTGCTTCCATGGATATTGACAGCAGTCCAGAATTTCCATGTGTGCAGTAAACTGAACGGGATTAAAACTATGCAGTCACACTAATGCATGTCTTATAAAAATGGTGTCCATTCCCTTGTCTAAAGATTATTAACAATGTTAACATGTATTTACAGTCGAGTGTGATTTTTTTTTTAAAATTCTGTTAATAGATACAAATATTTTGTCTCTACACTTTAACACAGTACAACTCTGTTGAGTTTTCAGCTCAGGAAAGAAAAAGTACTGCACACATTTATTCCTACACTGCAACATTACATCCTAAGTATGCACATGTCTGTGCAGTTATCATCAGAGGATCAGTGAGAGGTTTTGGCATGAAATGTGCCTACAGGAAGTTTGAAAGCACTCTTTACCTTTCTCTCTGACCACAAAGCAGCGCTTGACAGGTCCTACTTCAGAGAAGATCTCCTCCAGGTGCTGACTGGACGCTGATGCGGGTAAATTCCGCACGAATAAAGTCAGTGCTGCCATCCTGTCCGTGTGTGCTGGTGATGTGCTCATTACAAACCTCACCCAGTTTACTCTGAGAATGACAGACAGCGTGTAAATGATCACCTGGCCAAGCAGAAAGCTGTCTAAACTGCCTCGCTTTGCTGCAAAGACTTTCTAAATACAATCTCTAGACTTTCTATTGTTATCATCGTCCGTTAACAGGCATGACTAGAACACAGCACACGTTTTCTACGAGGCGGACATCTTGGATGTTTTTCCCACCCGTAGTACACAAGTCCCACCCCCTCCCTGTGATTGGCTAGTTATTAATATTTGCGACAGGTTTACAACGTGGCTTGTACAATCATCCAATCGGTGATGTGATTTATAAGATAGTAACCAATCGTAGCACAGGAGGCGGGATTTGTTCCAAAACGGGTAGGAAAAAAACAAAGCTGACACGTTTGTGTCAAAACGGAAGTTGTGACGATTTCACTTCCCGTTTTAAAAGGCAGGCAAGTGAGAACAGCAGCGCCACACACTGGGGGGAAAAAAAAAAATACATATATATACATATACACACATATACACACACACACCTCCACACTTTGTGGAACAGGTTTGGGCCCTTTGGTTCCAGTGAAGGGAAACTATACAACAGTTAATTCAGGTTCATTGATTTGATTGGACAAAAGGCGTACTTATATTTAGTCTAACCACACTGGGACTTTTTCACTGTGTGTATCACTCCACTTACCTGTGTTCACCACATAAAACACCACATAAAAACTATGGCAAACGATACATTTTTCATGAATACAACTTCTGCCTTAAAATATGAATGCTGGTCAGATGAAGATGATAACAGGAATGTATGCTAGCCAGTTGGTCAACGAGCTATCAGCGTGTGGCTTCTTTAAGATGCATTTCCTTTCACCGAACAAAAATTAAAAAAAAAAAAAATTCGCCATGCTGTGTCCAAATTGTCAGTTACTCTATATTAATTTCTTATTTATAAAACTTTTGTATAAAAGCACCTGCAATCATGCTGTTATTCTGAATATCAGCATGGGTGGGATTACCTGCAACAATGGTGAGCAGTGATTGGTCGTTGGGGACATTGTGCAAGTGCAAGGCTTTACACGCTGGTCGTGAGTCAACCGAATCTGGTCTCTCAGCTGGTGTGCTGTGAACTGGAGAGCCATATTGAGTGCAGGACAGCCACTAACATCTGCCTTGTCACTAAGCTCTTCTTTTTTTTTTTTTTAAACAAAAGTCACTAAAGGAGTCTAAAAAGTCACCAACACAGGGTTGATGAAGACATGAATGCTTTTTACAAGTTAAAATCTCATAATTACCATAATTGCAACGTGACGTGAAGGCACTATAATGCAGAAGGATGCCATAGACTGATGGTACACAAAGCTACTTCTAGATAAATAAATACAGTACTACTAATAGTACTAGAATACTATGTTTACATTTGTTACATGTTTCCACTCAATTAAAGTGACCAGTCAAACAGGATAATAACTCTAAACTAAGTTAGAAATATAATAACTTTTGTAGTGGTGGGTTGTGAATCTAAGATCGTGGACCCCCTTGATATGCTCGATGTGACCTGTGTGAACCACTGTTTTATAATCTCCATCAGAGACAGATCCTCATGCTAGTATAAGAGTATAAGACTAAGAGTACTATCAAGTTAAATCGAGCTGGTACAGTGTTGGTAAAACACTATTAGAATACTACATGACAACAATATGTATCAAACAGTAGACTGCTTTTACTTAAAAACTAAACTCTCTCAAATAAAAATATTTATTAATAAAATCTCGCATAGGTTTAGTGTCCTATAAATTCACTGTTATACAGTAATGCCCCTTCGAATATTAGTGCTGCTTAAACATTTCAGAAAACACAACATAAGTGAGAAACACACAAAATCATTCTCAATGTGTCAGACATCAAAATGTTTCTTTACATTGAACCACCTTTTTTGTGAAATGTGAAATATTGAAAAAGGAATTCCCCCTAAAGTGATGCAAGGAAATGAAGTTCCTCGTACTGTACAGTACGTTATCATGATAAATTATTGTGTCCCTGTTGCCAAATGTTCACATTTTGGCTTTTAGAGGCACCATGTTGAGAGAACAGAGGAAGTGTTCCAGGACCGACAGGTACTCCTGAGGATGGGCGCGCAGATGCCCGGCATGGACAGACTCCTCCCACTTCTTACTCATCACAATAATACCCCGCCTCTTCCAGTACTCCAGCAGATTCTGTATGACCTCCGGGTCACACAAGACATCGTTGCCACAGAAGAAGTAAAGCGCAGGAGAGGTCAGAGGCGTGTTCCAGAACACGTCAATACTCGCGTTGAAGTAGTCCACCGTCTGCCGCTTGAACACGTGGAAGTAAAGGAGGCTGGTGTGCTTCACAAGGAACTCAAAACGAGGGAACAAGTTCTTACTCACACCTGGAGTGCAACAAAAGCGGTCAAATTGGTAACAGATAATATGAATGTAGTCATTCTTCTTCTATGGCTGAATCTAAAATGTCTTTATCATATCTCTATTAAGCCTGTAGTGCACTATAAGTTCTAAAAAAGACACTATTATACCCAATGTAGTGTGCAAAAAAACAGTGAATAAACCATTTGAGCTTTAGTCTAACTGTGTGTCAACTGTGTGTAACATGATAGGCGCTTTAATATTTATATTTGTGAATACTAAATGCAAATGTACAGTCCCAGAAAACAAACATCTTATCTTCTCATCTATCCATGTGCCAAGGTTTCCACATCACTCAAAAGTTAAAACTTTTAGATTTTTTTTTTCCTTTCAGAAATTCTTCTTTCCATTCATGTGTTCTCATGTGCAAAATTCAGATAAAACTCATTAACAACTGATATAAACCATCATTCTGCCTCTTTACACACCTATAGCCATGCGCTCCAGCGAGCCGATAACCAGGCTGTCACAGATCTGCCCTCGGACTCTGTCGATCAGGCCACGATAGCGCTGAGTGTCTTTGACCACGTGAACGAGCAGCTGAGCGAACGTGTATCCTCCAATGGAGAAGGCATGAACCACCAGGGGGCGCTTTGAGAAGCGCTCGCTCTCCAGCAGCTGCAGCACTTGTGCACCGTGCTCCAGGCCCCAGCGAGGCCACAGGAAATGACTCACCTTGCTCTCCACCACTAGCACATCGAAGCCTTTTCTAAGGTAGATCTCGCAGTACTTGGCCTGAGCCTGAGGCCTCGAGCCGAGCCACGGCAACATCAAAAGCAGCGGCTTGGCCTGGCCACCAACCGCAGGTTGCACCGTACTCTCATTTACATACAATGTGATGCCCTTGCTGAGGTGGTGAGTCGTTACGCCCTTCAAGGGCCCGTCATCAAAAGGCATCACACTAGAAGACCTAAAGAGGTATATATGATAGTCACTATATAGTGTACTATACTGGGAGGAGATGTTTTGTTGTCAGGTCCTAAAGCATAGCAACAAGCAGGATTCATATATTTGATTTACTGTAATAAATGATTTACTGTGTTGTTTGACCTGAAATTTTGAACACAAACACACACTTGATAATAAAGCAAATAAGCATTTTCTCCACATCTGCTGTTCGCAACCTCACAGCTGTATGTGCAGCAATTTTGCAAGTTATATATATCTTATGTATTTGTAGTTTTATCTACTACAGTAGAAACTCATCTTCACAGTCGTTCATTCATCTTCAGTAAGCACTTCACCCTGGTCGGGATTGTGGCGTATCCAGGGTTTATCCCGGAAACACCAGGTACAAGGTAGAAATACACACTAGATAGGACGCCAGTCCATTACAGAGCACCGTTCACACACACATTCACCAATCATCTACTGTGCTGCCTGGATCAACTACGGTTGTGTTAAACTTGTGCTCTATAAATAAAATTTGCCTTGCCTTGCCTTGCCTTGCCTGCAGCATAAACTATATCTGAAAATCTCTATGGCTGACAAATTTCTTCCAATTCTTCATTTATACTTTAAACTTCTCACCAGTACTACCTGGCACCCAAAACAGACCTGAGTTTTGCTGTTCCCTCACTGAGGTGTTTGTGCCAGACAGACGAGCAAAAACATGCTTTCAGACAGCTTAGTTCATGGGAACACAACGGCGTTAAATGAAGTGTCAGTTTGGGAAATTATACTCTCTAAAGTCAGACATGATACAGTACTCGATTGTTTATCTTAAGATCATTGTTGCTGTTTTTTAACATGCTGGAATATAGATATGGGGC